TTTCCCACACTCCACCAAGATTTTTCATACAAGGGCACCGCCTGCCAGTTATCTTGTATAATAACGCTCTTGGCTTGTATACCGAACGTCCTTTTAGAGGAGTCCCTTAGAAAAGCAGTTGACCTCTAGACAAACCGCACCATAAGGCCACGTCTCTTCAACAAAAGTTGTGTTTTTTGTTAGTTGAAATTTTGGTACAAATGATCGTCGGGAAGAGTTATAAATATTTAATTAATTCTTAGTTTTATATTTACATATTTATTTATTTTTATAAACATTAAAAACATTAATAAATTTGCAAAGAAATCTTCGTAATCAGTTAAATGCATGCTGTCAAAAAGAAAAATACGCATCAGAACAAAAACAAGGAATTGTTCAAAAAGTTATAGAAAAAGTAATATTATATATTTATTTATTTATTTATTTTATTTTAAAAATTTTTTATAAAATTTTATTATTATTTAGTTTAAAATGGACTTTCTGACCATTCCTGTTTCTGTGGGTGATTTTGTTTTGCAAAAGCTCTCAGAGAATATTTTAGGAAACTGGAGTAAAAATATCTATTTTTTATTTAACTTTTTTAATAAGTAATATTATATTATTAATAAATATTTTATATATTTTATAGTAGAAACTAATCATAAGGCTAAAATAAAGGAAGCACATGAAAAGAGTATCTCTGCTCCTCCAAAACGCAAAAACATAACACTTCCAAAAATAAAAAAATATTATTTTCAACAAGTTCTCGAACAGTATTATCTTTTAATAATACAACTAATAATAATAACTTTCAACAATCTTTATTAGATAAAAATTCATCTTCTACTGAATCATCTGATGAAAGTAGTTCACTAGAATTTCAATCTGCACCACCTATTAATGAAATTGTAGAAGATGATAATAATTATATTCAACAATCTTTTAATATAATTGAAGTTAATGATAATAATAATACTCAACAATCTTCTAGTGAGACTATAATCGAAGATAATAATAATACTCATCAATTTTTGAGTGAGACAATAATAATGATACTCATTAATCTTCAGGTAAAAATTATTTAATTTATTTATTGTTTTTTAATAAAATTTTGAAATATAATTTTTTTTTTAATAAAGCTTTCAAGCAGTATCTGAAATTGCATTTAATAATCCTATTTCGAAATCTAAAAAAATAATCATATTTATTTAAATAAATAAAATTTATAATAATTATATAATATTATACACATATATAATAAATTTAATTTTTTGTATAGAAAAAAAAAGAAAAAAAAGTCCAACTCAATTAACTTGCTTAACTCGTTTAATAACAAAAAAAAAATTCAACTAAAGAAGCTGCAGTAGTATCTAAAAAACAAACAAACAATATATCAAAAAAATAAAAAATTAAATATGTAAGTATATAATATTTTTTAATTATTAAATTAATTATTATTATATACTAATTTTATAATTAAAAACAGGATACATATGTATTATATATATATATAATATACATATATAGTATACTTGGCATAATTAGCATATATATTTCAATTTATTTATTTATAAAAATGGTTTGGTTGCTAAAGATATAATCATAATTTATTTAGAAAATAATCGTGTATAATCATGAAGTAATTCAATTAATGAATATATTCATGTTTTATTCAGAAAATAATCATGATACAATTTAATTATTATTAAATATATTCTAGTTTATTTATAAATATAATCATAAATTAACCTGATTATTAATAAATATATTCATGTTTTATTCAGAAAATAATCATGATACAATTTAGTTATTATCAAGATATATTATAAATATAATCATAAAGTAATCTGATTATTAATAAATATATTCAAGACGAAATAAAGTAACTCTTCCCATAGATCACTTTACCAAAATTGGAACAAGAAAAAAAAACTTTCCTACAAACTTTTCTCGAAAACTTACTAAGTAAATTAATATATAGCTCTTAAGTAAAGTTATTCAGCACCTCCAAAACTACCTGAAAAAGATGCAATTTTTATTAAAAGGCTTCACCACAACAAGCTAGTAGCAATAAACACCCAAAATAGCAATAAACCAGTTTTTCAACCCTTTTGCAAAAGTGGTCCTAAGGACTCCTATATTCCAACTAACCAGAAACAAACTACAAGTAGTGCTCTTAGCAAAAAAACAAAAGCAACAAGTACCTTACTCTATCAAGCCCCAAAATCTTAACTAAAACATGGCCTTAGAAAGCTCCTCTTCCTACTTTGGATTTTTTTCTTGGACCACCAAACTTGTGCAACCTGAAGACACCCCCACTATCAGCTAGCCTCCAAGCTCTGGTGTAGAACACACAAAAAATTTTTTAAATATCACTATGAAGAACTGATCAAAACTCATTTTTACTGTTAGCTTCTCTATTCCCAAGTACGCTGACACTTTCACCTTTTCCGTTGATATTACCAAATCCGAAAAGATACCCAACTTGGTTAACTACCTATCACAATGGATATGCCAACATGACAATCTTGCCAAATCTGTTCTATTTGACCTCACATTACAGAAAAATAGTATTGTAAATATTAGCACCAAATACTCCAAAGCTACCCGTAATAGTGACCTTGTAACAATTACAAACCTTTACGAAAGAAGCATGAAGCCATTTATGAAGGCTAAAAGCATAGGAAATCTTGCTGTAATCCCATACAATAGTATTACAGATTTTGACTCAGACAACGAAACAAACAGAAGTACCAATGAGCAGGTTATACAAACATTAGCCTCTACTAATCCTAGCTATCCCCAAGACTCTGTCACAGAGCACACAATTATTAGCATAGACAACAATAACACAAACTCTACATCTGATACAAACAAACCCCCTAGTACTAAATCAACTAGTATTCAAAACACTAGTAGTACAACAAGACTACTGTACCCAGACCCAGATCACCCAGCCGGTACTTACCACACCTAACCCCAAGTATACCTCTATAGCCCCCACAGCTAACCCTAACACCAACCGTAAAAGACCTAGAAACTTATCTAATATTTCTCCATTTGCTACTGCCTCGAATAAAGCTACTAAGGCTGTATTAGGCAATACCTCAACTCCTATTAGAATACAAGCAAGTATGAAGACACCTACTACAAGATTGACATACAGCCAAGCTGCTCAAACAGATCTAAAGCTACTCAAAACTGATGCCTCTGAAGATGAAATGGAGTGGGCTTTAGAAGTATACCTCAAAACTACTAAACCTATTAATACACTCTTTGATACAAGTACCTGCTATTTCGACAAAATTGCAAAAGCTCTTGAGACCCCTGAAGGTATCTATAACTTTACTAGCTATAAGCTTATTACTACTCCAACTAACTACAAGCTACCTGAAGCAATCGCCCTTAAATT